TCCATTATCATAATACCAACCAAGAACATATTGTCCAATAGCGTCACCACCCTCTGCTGATTTCAAATATCACTCAAATGTTTTTTCCTCATCTTTTTGTGTACCAATTCCATTTTGATAACAAAACCCAAGATTACATTGCCCATTAATATATCCACCTTCCATTGACTTTAAACACCACTTGAATGCTTTTTTCTCATATTTTTGTGTTCCGATTCCTTCATAATAACAAAGACCGTTATTGCATTATGCTCGTGTATTTCCACTCTCTGCTGATTTCAAATACCAATTCAATGCTTTTTCCTCGTTTTGTATTCCAATTCCATATAGAAAACAATCTGCAAGTAAAAGTTGTGACAATAAGTCATTTTAATTGCTGATACTTTTGAAATGTTAGCTTACTATTTTTTTTTCATATTGATTCCATATTGATTGAGGAATCCCAATAATGTTCTTAATTGCTTTTTATCTTGATGATGATTCACAATTTTGTTTAAATTCTCGCAATGATGTGTATCAATGTATGTGCGCAGTTGCTCGTGTTGCACCAGAATTGAGCATATCATAGAAAATATTTGGTAATTCGTTGATTTCAGGGTTAATTCGTTGACTTCAGAAGTTAATTGTAGCTGTAATAAAATCTCTTCTACATTTATCTCTTGGGAAGTGCAGGTTGTAGTACCTGCACTATCCGATAAATTCACCACCAATTCTGATGAATTATCTTCTTGTTCCGATGATAGCCATTCGATTTCTTTAAGTCTCTGATTCACTTCATGAATAACAGGTCGATTATCTGGCATATTATCCCAGCATTGTTTATATATTTGCTAGGAATCCCGGAAATTGTAATTTCTTTTTCATCCTCTGGATTTGAAAATGCATACCCGATTTTCTTGGTTGGAATGCGGCCGCTGGATATGAACTCCAAGGCTGAAGATATCAGATCTTTCGTCTCGACGATACGATACTCATCAGGATTCAGTAAATACGCCGGATCAACATAGCTTATGTTTCCATTGTAAGTTCCCGAATTTGAACGATCACTTGAAAACTATTATTTTTTCTTGGTGCGCTAATACATTGTTATGATTCTAGTATTTAATAAAAATTACATGTTAAATTATAACTTTTTATATAAAAAAACGAACGTTAACGTTTTTTAATAAGTTTGTTACCAGATCTCTATGAATTATTCCTGAATCATGTATAATTTTAATCCTTCAGCTAGTTGTAATGCTAGTTTTAATTTTTTGTCGCCGCTAAGTTTTCGATTTTTTACTAAGAAATCTCTTAGAGTGCCACCGTTAGCATATTCCAAAACAAGGAGATATTCATCCGAGGTTGGATCTATTTTATGAAACATTATAAGCTCTTGCTCAAAATTTACGAACACACACAATTTTTTATGTTGATTTTACCTTTTGTGATTCCATATAGTTGAATAATATTTTCATGGCTTTAAGTTTAATGAGGAATTGTAACTAAATGATCATCAATATCAATACGTATGTTAGTTATGTATGTACGTAGTACTGTATTTTAATTACAGTCAAAGTCCTTTACAACGGCCGCATTGGATTGGCACTTTTGGACCGTTATATAGGGCTTGTATTATAAACTTCGCTATATAGGGAGTTTTAAATAGTTAAAAATCGGTATATCAATACGGTATGAGCCGAATCCGATGTATACAGTGCCGTTGTAAAGGACTTTGACTGTTCATTTCATAGCGTCACCTCTTTATTTATGGATTTTTTGTCTATTTTCCAGAATCTTTTTAACGCAACCGTCAAATCCATCAAATTAGCTTTTGACACTTCGCCAAATGCTCCTACGCCAACCACTTTTTATTTGTAAATTCTTCAAAGTTGTAGATTTTGATAAGCGTCATATTGAATAATTGAAATTTAATTGTCGTTGATATTATTTATTGGTTATTTATTACCATTCTAACGAAAGAAATGTATTTAATATTAATAACGCGTAACGGTAACGGCATTGATTATGGCCTTTTTTGCGAAATCTCGGAGATAACGCGAGTTTTTTTTAGACGACCTCATTTCCATTGGCTAATATAGACAACCACAGCTCATGTATAATCAATCTTAGCCAATGGTCTTTCGTGAAATTATCGATTCCGTAAATTCGTTAGATTTGGCCCAATTTTGGCCAGAGTTAAATCGGTTATGGAATTAATGGTATGTTCTCTTACACACAATATTGAGATACGTACTGTATTTGGAAAAATTAAATTATAATGAAAGATTAGATATCGATATCTCGATTGTAAATGGTAACCTCAATCGAGTGGTCTTTCGCTAGCAATTCATAATGTTTTTCTGATTTTTCTTCAGAGCTTCGTTGTTTATGATAGAAGGCGGCAAATCTCGTTCATAGTATTGTGTTATGATTTATCTAAAAATTAATTGAAGTGTCCGAAAATTGGCTGCCTTTGTTTAAAGTCATCCGGTTTATTCTGATATGTAATACATTCAAAGATCGGAACTTTCGGTTACTTTTTCTAGATTCGATGTACATGTACATGTACATGTATCTTGATTTTATATCGTAATTTCTGAATAATTCCTTTGTTCAAGTTCATATTTGGTTAGTTCGTGAGGTTGACTTGCATTGCATGCAATGAAAGGTCATGATTTCGAAGGTTCAGTTACATATGCACGATCGTGTGAAACAAATACACACATTTGACATTTCGGTTTGGGATTACTGTATAAGAGCAAATATCGTTGATTTATTTCATAAAAATAACCACCGATTGCGTATTTCGAATTTTTAATTACATGAAATTCGTTTTGAACATATCAACATAGATGCTCATTCATTAATTGGTTTCAACTTTCCCTTTTGAAACTAATAGTTTTGGTTGAATGGAACTGAGACAACTCCTTAATGTAAAAAAGGGGATGAATCATGATCGTGATGCACAATTACATGGATGCATAAATAACAATTGAACGGACTAGAAATTTAAAGACAAGCGTGGGAATGCAAATCTTCCGAAAGAAAGTAAAGTTTATTTTAACCTCACCTATTAAACAAGAATTATGCATGTACTATTGTGAAAATTCTACCTACAAAAAAACACCGCCACACGCGCGAAAATGCACACGCACAAATACGGATCATCGTGATGCGTGAAAACATTGATTTGTCACCATAACGAAGAGATTATTGGTAAATGTGCAACATCACACACACACGATGACACATCGGAAATTTTCTCTCATTTTGCTGCCGATTGGATGGATGAGCACACTCATATTTTCACTCACCGACCGACACAAGAAGACAGACCCTTCAAAGATTTCCTATTTTGAAAACATTGGCGGTAATTAATTTAATTATTTAATTAATTAATAGCATTAATGAAGTAATTTATGCTATGATTAGTCCAGCTAATTTTTTTTCTTAGCGATTAAAAATTCCATACTAGGCATGTGCGCGCTACTTCGCCCATGAAAAATATTACAAAACTCGCATCTTCGAATCAAATTTATAACTGAACGAAAAGAAAATGCAAAAAAAAATTATATTGTTAATCGTTGTTGTTTATGATTGATGCGTGCTTATTTATTATGATTATGCGTAATAATTCTATGTACGTTTGAATCAATCAGTGATGATAATGATGTTGTTGATGATGATATCGATATTGACAAATGACAAATAGAATAAATTCTAATGGTAGTATTAGCATCGAGTAAGGGGGTAGAATAGTAACAATTATCGTGATGCATTGATTGGTAAATGCATCGAAAGATCTGGGTGACGCACTCGCAGCAGTCCACAAAAAGTTGTTGATGCCTGCTTGCATAACAATAATAATAATTAAAAAAAATTCAATTCTTCTCTTGTGTTCTTCCAATGAAAAGCGAAATTTAATCAATCAATCAAAACAACGACATCATCTGATAAATAATGATGGCGACGGCAATCCTTTTTCCGAACGCAGATTTTCTAATAAATTAAAAAGGTATTATTACATTTTTGGAAATATCATCATTCATCATCATCATCATCATTCTCATCAACATTATTATATAATCGTGTATAGTGCTGTGTGATACCGATACATGTTAGTGATTTTCCATTGCATCTTGGGGTTTTGCAGCAAATTCTCTGCATTTGTCCACTTCAGCCCAATTCGAAACATTCGAAATAATAATAATAATAAATTATTATAATTAACAAAAAAAATAACAAAAACCAAAATCAAAATCAAATAAAAAATATCATATTTTATTATATTAAAAAAACAACCATTAGGAGTCTAGTAAGCGTAGTATAGAATAAGGAATAAGCGAAACACGCATCAAACAAAACAGCACCGTACGTTCACAAAAAAACTTTAGACACACTTCTCCCACTTTTGGTAAACAATCGAAAAAAATCGCCAAAGAGTCGACGAGGCAAAACACAGAACATCGTAATTTTTGTCGAAGTGACAAGATTTACGCACGAAAGTTGTAAGTATTTAGTAGTTGTTTATTGTATTATTATTCTGTAACTGATGATGTTGATGATTACTATTTCTCTAACATGGATTTTTCATCATCGTCATCATCATCATCATTATTCATCATTGAGCATGTTCCCACGTTATATTCCATCACACTAACGCACTACTAATAAAATCTATGCTTCTATTTACTGATTTTAGAAATACAGTAAGTGAAAAAACCTAGTGCGTAGGCCTGTTGAACAGTGTCCATCCATTCAGCATCCACAGGAGCAGTTTCTACATAAAATAAACACTGGCATCAAATAATTCAAAATAATAATAATTATTATCATTAACATATAACACACATAACATAACATAACATATATACATACATACATACAAACATACATATACACATACATATACACATTATTATTTACTTTATCTTTTCATAATTTATCATCTTTTCTCGATACAAACACACACCCACACCCACACACACATATACCTACAAATCGAGACTCCCGTCAGGATGACATCTGGAAACGACACCAAGATGGAAGTGGACCCGGCGTTTGTCGCTACCATGAAGGCAAAAACCGAAGCGGTATTTCGTTTTCCATCTTGTTTTTCTATCTTTCGATTTCCTTTTCGATGGAAGAAATTCAGATGAATTTTTTATTCTGGAATTAAAAACAAATATCACTTACCATTTATTGATGATAATGATACTAGGTATATAAAGCCTTCCATCAAGCCCATCAAGCGATGCGTTTTGCTTCACGCGCTATCGACGAGTTGCAAGCGGTAATGCCACAGGAACTACAGACTCTTATGCCGGTACCGCAAGTCTCGGATTCCGAGACGAATTCATCGAATTTGTCTCGTAAAAATTCAAAGCCGCGACAGAGACCCGCCCCATATACTAAAGTTCCACCTCGTTCAGCTGCTACAGTGACACCAACCACAAATCTAGTATCCGCAAACACTTCACCAGGAAGCCCAACGACTGCCAATGAATCAATTGCAGCTACTGCCTTGACTACGACTTTGCCGAATAGCGGAATAATTCAACAACAGCAACAAAATACCCCGACATTAAGGAAACGAGCCTCGCGATCGCCTACACGTCCTACTGCTACTGCACAATCCGCCACGACGAGTTCAAATACTAGTCGTCGTGAACCGCCTACATTTACCCCCGAACAAGCGGCTCTATTGGATGAATTTATCAAATATTTCAATCTACGGGTCGAGAGCACAAATATTCCACAATGGAAAATTGGCGCGGAAATTTCATCATACGCGGGAAACAGCATCAAAATGGATCAAAGTACCGTTTCCAGGATGGCGAGACGTTTAGGTGTGCCGAAAAGTCAGACAGGCGTCGAGGCTGTAAAAAAATGGATTGCAGCTGAAAAAGCGAGAATCGCTGCTGAAAGCGGTGCAAGTGGGGCTACCTCTTCTCCTGTTGTTACCGAAAATAATGCTGCCATGACAAATGAGACGACTGGATCTTCATCGATTGCTACAGCTAATGATATTAAAAATAATATTATTGACAATAATACACATATTGCCACTATCGATATCCCTAATATGACGACGACGACTACTCCCACCACATATGAAAGCCTTGTGCCAAAAAAAGAGTCTCACGAGAGTTGAAGAAAAAACGAGACGGCAATCGCAAGTTTTCCTTCCGCATAGATATTAATATAATAATAACGACAACAATAATCCAAATAATAACGCTTTTCCATACTCTTTTATTAAAGAATTAAGGTTCATTCATGCTTTATTTTTAAACTTCTGACAATTACACAAAAATCATAAATTAGTTATATGTATGCAACTTGCATTTTATTATTATAATTAATTTTAAAAACGAACTATCTCTCGCTTTCTCTTTTCTAATACACTCCACTATTGCGTACGTACAATGTAGTAATGTAAGGTAAAATTCTTAGGGCCTTTTGGATGTCTGGTTATCCTTATTTGTAAATTCAATAAAAAATATTCTCGTAGATAGATTATCTGGTGCTACTTGTGCAACAATTTATGCTTTGCAGTCAAAAAGTATAAAACATGCCTTTATTACTTACCGTTCTTCCTGATCAAAAATTAACCTCGACAATCGCAAAATCCATTTGATATTAAGAAGAAAGACTATATTTTTGTATTGGTATCTTAAATTCTATTTGTGAATAATAGTAAATACGTAATCGCATGATGTTTGTATGATGCATGTACATTGTACGTACATAACATCTTATCTGACACGCTTCTCTTTGTTCATAGACATTCCAGAAAAAAATTGCATAGAAATAGAAAAGTAGAATTTTTATGTACGTATGAAGTTGCTTTTCGATTAATGCACTCGAAACCTGCTTCTTAATAAAAAAGGTCATTGTTTGTGAGATACAGTTTTGCTTAATTATACAGAATGGGACAGCATACGATATCAAATTTACAAAAAGTGTTATAACTTTTGAATAAATAAAAAAACTCTCTTCCAAATTGATAGTTCTTAAGTAAAACTATATTTCTGGAAGAGGAATTTTTTGATTTTTATTTTTGATAGAGTTATAATGATTTGAATATTACCTACTTTAAATGTGAGCTGAAAATTTGGCGCATGTTTATACGAAGTCTTATAATTTTTGAATCAAGAATTAAAATAAAAAAATTCTCTTACAGATTAATAGCTCTTTAGTAAAGATACATCTTGATAAGAAAAATTTTTTACTATATAATAACTATCAAAATTTGGTGCTTCTATAAAAGAGTGGATATCTTATGCTGTCCTGTACTATATGACTACAAAGGGTGTGCATACCCCTTTGGTTTTTAGCGATCCCAAAGCAGATTTTTTGCAGCTTGGGCATCATATTATACGCATTTTCAAAAAGGTTAATCACCACGCCACGTATCAGTTGTGATGACTCTGCACTTAACAATGGATCTCGAGAAAGACCTTTCTCCTGGGAAATGGGAGCATACTCTATGGTAACAAGTGCGAATTTTTGAATTGTACAATTGTCAAGCAATTCAATTGCTCACCTCCATCTTGCAGAACTCAAACGGTATGTGAAGAAGACCGGAAAGTTATTCCACCCAAAATATGCCTGATCGAATTAAAACATTCATTATGGCAAATGGAGCCATAATTAAGTATTAGTCACTTAAGAAAATTTGTATGTTAATAACAGTAGAAATAAAGTTTATTTTAAGTTTATGATATCATTATTAGGGTTTTGTGCGGAACTTTTATTTAAATCTGAAATAAAAGTGGTCGAATTAATATACACACCTTCTGTATACACTGAGAATGTGTCGCGATAGATATTGAAACCTGTATTTCAAACTACAAGCAACAAGAGTGCATAAACGGAAATTCATTCAGAAAGAAAATTTCATGAAAATTATATTTGACAAATTATGATATGATGCAAACGTCTAATTACCTCCTACATATTCTTGACTTTGAAAGAATAGAACATTAATAAATATCTCTAGTTGTCTATTTTTCTGATCACAAATAGAGAATTTATTCAAAATAAGTATTTATTAATGCGTTCTATTGAGGTAACTACGTAGACGTTCCGCATCACATCATTCTGAATTAATTATCCAGGAAAAAGCTTAAATGAAATTGCAATCGATATATGAAGCGCGAAACAAAAATTCTTGAACGAACAAAATTTGAATGAAATAATAATAAAGTTTAGGGTCAGAAATGATGGAACGCTAAGGTCAATGTAAGCTTGGGTAGTATTGTCAAAGTAGCGGTAGTATTGGAACACAAAAATCCCGAAAACGCATTCAAAACAAGAATCGATTTAATGATCTACAAAGACTGTGATTTACGATTCGCGTAGATTTTGCTATGAAAATGAAATTGACACTCTCAAATCAGCAAATTGGCAGAAATTCTGTGGGCAAATAATAAAATTTGGATGGTATTCAAAATTAACAGCAATTTTGGTTTGTTAATTGGAACAGTAAAGATACCAAGAAGCATTTAATTATATTCAAATAGTAGCTGAGTCGGAAAATAATGCGTTCAATATTACACCCAATATTAATTATTTTTGTGGAGATGAGAATGGTATGATGTATGACACCAATACTTAATTAAGAGGTAAATTCAAATCTAATTCGTAATTATGCTAAGGCCTAATCATAACTAGGGATTAAATTTTGGATTTACTTCCTAATAGAATTTTAAAATATAGCATTTATTTTGATTATAGGTGTCATGCATCATACAAAAAGTACATGAAAACCGAGTAGAGGAAATTGTTGAGTCTGTTGGTTTTGAAAAATTCTACGTATACTGTTTGTTTTTTATTTTTTTCAGTTGTTAATTTTCCATTTCATTCTTTCATTTTAATAATAAAATGCATATGACACAGGTATTCACTATTCGGTATTTATCATATTGAATCAAATATTCTTTCAAGTTAATGCTAAGCTATTAAATAAATAAATCGGACATCTATACACTCACACGCTGTATAGTTGCACCTCTATAAAACACAGATTTTCTTTGTTGCATACAGAAAATTTGATATAGACAGCTCAGCTATAACCTCTTTAAAGTCACAATTTTTCTGCGCCCGAAGTGTGATTTTATATATAGGTACGATTGTACAAACAGTATTAGTAGAATTTTAAAGAAGCATCTATATATTAAATTCGTAAATATTTACTCGATTTATCTGAATTCCCAATTCGATATCAATTGATGATTTAAAAGCTATTGCTAAAGTTACTGTACGCAAATATGATATATCTTTTGAAATATTTCCGTTGCATAGCCTAATATTTTTTTCATCAATGAGTGAATGTTTGATAATTTATCTATTTCAAATAGATTAATATCATCCTTCAAACCTAACAAATTGAATCATCTCGCCTTTAGCTGTCGCGACGACAGTAGTAAAAGAAAATAGAAAGCATGTGATTTTTAAGGCTGGCACAAAATAACAATTTTATGACGTTGAATTCTTTTTAGATTCCTTAGCCAACTCTGAAATTAATTTTGTTATTACAAAAGTAATGAACAAAATAAATTTTGTGAGCCCAATTCTAATTAATGTTATGTAATAATCTTGTTGCGAACACTTATCGTTATCCTTATTTGCAAGTAAAATAAAACAATAAGGAATGGGTATCACTGGTCACAACTAAGTGGCTGATGAAATCAACAAATATCTACACGTGATTATATTTGAAACTTGAACTTTAAAATTCGTAACTATGCAAGTTTTCCTATTTGAAAAGTCCTTTCTGGCTTGCGTACATCCTCAATAACTCATGACATTTGATGTGAACAACTTGCAAATGATTAATATCAAGATCATCAAGATTTTGCGTCATTTTTTGAATATTACAAAGAAGCTTTTCAATAAGTTGTTGCAATTGTTGTTGTTGAGAGTGCTCAATATTTCTGAGAGAAAAAAGAAAAAGAATGGAAAATAACTGCATAAATGTGTTTACAGGGAGTTATCGTGATTAAAAATTCATGCATTGCAACTTTCCAATTGATTATGTTCAACATTTTTTCTACTGAAAATAATAATCGTTAATTTTATTTTCTAAAATAGTATTCATTAATGTTTTTGCTTTGAATTGTCTTTGATGGATTTCTCTTTCTGCTAGTATCATTCGTCCTGCATGAATATCTGGAAGTCGTCATTGATGTCAAGCATCACCTTCCATTATGACATTATGACTTACAGTGGGTGGGTCATCAAAAAGGTCCGGCCAGAATTATTTTTGCATTTTGTGGTAACTATTTTTAAATACTCAAAATAGAAAAGGTTCCTACCCTACACCAGTTTTCCCATGTGGTGATAGTATTCTTTAGGAGGACAATGCAACACCACATAGGTCAAAGTTGCAACAGCCGCTCGCAAAGCATCTGGAATCAAGATGTTAGTTTAGTCTCCACAAAGTCCCGATTTGAACTCCATAGAAAATTTATGGCATGAAGTGAAAGACGCTGTTTGCCGACGAACCCTGCACCGTTATTTTCACAGAACTTGAACGATACGTAAAAGTGGTTTCGACTCGAATACTATCGAAAGCTTATTTATAGTATGCCCGATCGAATTACCACGGTTATTGCTTAATGGTTTGTAAGTGGCCGGATCTTTATGATGGCCCACTGTATAATTCGTATAGCAAAACATCACTACGTCGATTAATTTTTCCTTAGAAATTATCATATTTGAAACGACGTTTGTGCCATGACTAAACTTTGGTACGATAGACTTCATCCACATGATTTTGTTATGCTATGAAAATTACTATATTTTTTGGCTTATTTAACTATTGATAATAATGTTGTCATATTTTTCCATTTTTTAAAAAAAGTTGCTGCATTCTTAATCTTTATTAGATATTTTAAATCTGCAGAAAGTTCATTCATAAATGCTTTTTTATCATCTGTTTTAAGTTACATTTTATAGTTTGTAGACCTCTCTCCAGGCTCTTGCAACATGTCACTAACAAAGTAAAATCCGACTTTTTTGAAATTTAATGAAGTGCCTTAATTTGTGCAGGATCGCAGTCCACAAGAAGTGCAATAGGACCTTGTCAATTGAAAATTTGAATACGAAAACTATCATACAGACTCAGTATTTTTGCGTGAAAAATGTGCAAGCGTAACACCTTTTCCAGTTTTTGGATCGGGTGAAAGTAAAGTGCATAAAGATCTTTGTGTTTGCTTATCCTATGGCATCGAGGAGGATGATCATAACTTTGTGAAGAATTTCTTTTCCAAGAGGAACAGTAAAACTGATATGTCTTCCTTATCAACTTTACCATTGCCTTCTTGTTATGAAATTTCACAAATAAATCTCCTTTTTGATTTTTGCCTGCTAAACTTTGATAAGTTCCGGCCTGATGACATTTCTAAATAACCTGCAAAATAACACTTCCCTTTTGTTTAACATTGCGTTTATAATAAATTGCTCCAGTTGCTTTCCCGAATTCTTGTATTTAATGAAACATAATGTTCTATGGTGCATAACATCTAAAGTCATCAAACATTTGTATTTTTTAAAATGTATAAATATCTTTACTAAGTAAATACAAAATTTAATCTGTGAATATGATAGAATAGGCCCTTTCTGAGCATATTCACGGATTTAAATTTTAGTTCTTAGTAAAGATGTTTATACATTTTATAAAATACAAATGTTTGATGACTTTAGATATTATGTTCCATATACCTTCTGAAAATCTGTCATGATAAATACTTTTATTATGTAGTGGTATCTTGAAAACCTTCTATAAATTGATCTAAATGTTCAAATAAATCATCTAGACTTGTTTCTTGGCCGTTTGCACAATTTCAATATTAAAAGTTTGCATAAGTTCGTGTTTTAATGACTTTTGGATTCGTTATTTATTACTACTAACGATAATTTCTGTTCATATATGGATAATAACAATGCGGGAATCACAATAATATTAATTTTCCGGGTAGTAATTATTACGAAACTATCATAATAGTCAAGTATTCATCGTCTGTGTATAAGTTAGATGTCTGAAGAATAAATTTAATAATTAGTTTGTCCAATTTAATAAGGATTAATTAATCTATTTCACAGTTGTTTGATTTACAATTATTAAAACTATATTAATAAAATAAATTAATCTTCACTTACCTTGTTTTGGCTTTCAATGCCTTTTTTTGGCTTTTTAAGATTGTTATTCTTTTTTTCTTCCCATAGCATGATGCAAAATACTTGGAATCTTTTGTTAAATATTCTATATTACTTTAAATTTAAACTTTAAACTAACAGATCGTAAATAACACTAAAATACTTTATGCAGCAATCATTCTTGTTCCGTTTCAAAAAATAGCATTTAGAAAAGTAATTAAACGATGAAGTATATATTTTGAAAGTTTTATTTATAAAAGTTTAAAGTTCAAATATAATCACTTGATAGCCAAATTGCCCCAGCGATGGTCCATTCCTTGTTGGTTTTGTGCTATTTACGCAATAAGTGTTTGCGTGTCTTAAAAATAATTTGATCATTTCAGCAACAGTACCATTTTTATTATACTAGGAAACGGAAACCGTTTCAAGTCCGGAGCTATTTTTTATTGATTTTTAAAACCTTAGCCACGGCGAAAAAAAGTGTCGGATCATGTGATATTTGTGTATGTCCGGAAACATTCTACGGTAATAATTGTTATTGTTAATGTTAACTTAAAGGTTAGGCTTAGGATTAGGGCTAGAGCTGGAGTCAAGCTTATATGTAAAATAATCTTCCCAACTCTTTTTTTAGTGTACCAAGCTGGATTTAGGCATCTGTTTCTCATATTTTTTTGCTTTTTTCATTTTCTTGCGTCGGATTTGTTTTGCCGAGATGGTCAAAAGTTTACGCATTTTTATTGGTTTGTGTCACAATTAGCACGTGATCCGACCCTTTTTTGCCATGACTAGAGATAAGCATTTCCCAGATTTCTGATTGGATGCAAGTAATTTCCATCGCTGATTGATTGACTGCACACCGGGTTTTCTAAATCAACAAATAAAAATGCATAAATTTTTGATCAACTCGGCAAAACAAATCCGGCACAAGAAAATTAAAAAGGTAAACTGGCTCGAAGCACTAATAAAAAATGTCAGAAAGACAATTTTATATATTATCTTTACTCCAGCTCTAACCCTAACTCTAACCCTAATGATAAAATTAACCTTTAATATCCAATCAGAAACATGGGAAAAATTAGTAAATGCAGTAAATTCAGATGAAAAATTTATTATTAGTGTTAGAAACACAAGTAGTATTCAGCATATGTGTGCATTTGGGAAAAGTAAAAAATGTTGGTTTTTATAATATATGTATATTTGTTTAAACTTTATGATCTTAATACAAATCAGGAATTGATTATATAATGTGCTAATCATGATTATATAACCTAATTTGAAATATTTATTTCTTAGATTTTTATTTTTATCACAGATGTGATACTATAGAACTGTATCACATCTTTTTTATTGGTCCAATTATGTAACATGTGACTAAATGTGATAGCAGAAACTTTATTAGCTTTGCCAACAAAAAATATGCTTACATGAATACAAAAAATTAATACTAAAGGCTATTTATCATTTGGATTAGGATATGGATAGTGCTCCAATCAGGTCGGATCCAATTCGTAATCTGACCCGGAACGCACATTTCAGAACGGATTGAATTGAAATCAAATCTGATTTGAAATAATTCAGATCAATCTGAAAATTGTTATTATTCATTTAATATTAAATGAATGAAAATTTGTGGGCAAATACACAATTATATTTTAAATAACTTTATTCAGATACAAAATACAAGTGACTTAGTAAAATAAAAGTTATTAACAAAAAAACTAATTTATAATTTTTAGATCAAATCTAATTCAAATTTGATCTGATCTAAAATTATCAGTTCAAGTTGATCTCAAATTTAAATAGAGCTTTAAATATAGACTAGAGAAAATAAGATTATAATATAAAATTACCTTTTCAATATTTTTTGTTAATGCTTTAGATTAGATTTTAATATTTATTTTTTATATTTTTTACATTATTCACTTTTTTTATTTTTTTGTATCAAATTTGTTTTGTCAAGTTGAGCAAAGATTTGTATATTTATATTAAAATAATAGAGAAAATTTTTGTTATTATTAATAAAATTAAATATATAATAAAATAACATATAATTAAATTGAATAATAAAAAATATAAGATTATACTATAATTTAATTTGTAATGCAATCATTCAAAATTCATAATAATTCAAAACTCAAAACAAAGATCTTTGTTTACAAATCAGATAAGCTAAACTAATTTATAATTTTTTAATAATAATTTATATCTCTGTATTTCTTACACTTTTTATTTGTTTATATAAAAATTTAAATTATTTAATATATATTAAATAACTTTTTTTAGTATATCTTGAAATTTTGAAACTGAAAAATAATAGAATGATTTTTTTATTAGATTCTGAACTAGAAACAATTTTACTTTCTTTTATATTTTATATATTTATAAAATCTTCAAGTAATTTGATTAATTATTCAAATTAACTTTTGATTTCAAGAGTTTTTATAAAGTTTGCTTGTAAATTTCATGAAGTTTGTTATATATTATCTTTTGTTCTATTATTTCTAAATCTTGTTTTATAAAGTTTTTTTATTAAATTAATATAAATAAGTAACTGACAGAATTAGAGAATAATTATTCACTTGAGTTGCAAATTTATCATAATAAAAATAATAAATTTATTATATCTAAAACTTTTTGATATTATTTAAAAGAAATTAGTTTAATATAAATTTTGCATTATTGATTACTAATATTACTTGAAAATAATAATAATATATAATATTTCATCAAATTATTATCAAGCAAGAATATAAATATATAAAATTATATAATAAAAGAATATAATACTTTGCTTTTAAAAAATTTTTAATAATAATTAATTATATATCTTTAATATTACTCAGTTATATATATAATTATTTATTAGATAATAGTTTATTAATCTTTAATATATATATTAATCATTAAATTATTTTATATTTAATATAATATTAATAATCTTTTATATTTTTTGCTTATCATATTTTGTTATTGATATTTTTATCCTTATTATTTTTATTTTTATTTTTCTCTTTATCTTTCTTAATTCATTTTTATACTTTTTAATTTTATTCTTATTTTTATTTTTATTATTTTTGTCACTATTATTTTTGTTATTCAAATATAAGATATTTTGTGAATAAGTTAATTCTGTGATATAATAGACAAATTAATTAAGTTTATTATATTATATTTTAAAAATTATAGATATCAAGAATTGCTAAATATAATTATTTACTCAGATAAACAAAAAATTAATCTTGTTTTAACTTTTAACAGAAAAAATTACTAAGTATCAGAAGTTGTATTCTTGTTATTTTGTTCTGAGTATCCAAAAAATAATGAATTTTTAATATAAGATTATATAAAGAAATATTCCAATTATATAGTAAGATATAGTAATTATTTTATTAATAAATTTAAAATTTATAAATAATTTTTTGACTTATATAAAAATTTAGATAAATTTTTGCTTATGGATATTCCTAAAGAAATATTTTAAATTAATTTCAAAATTATCTTGTATAATATTATTTTAGCAGATATAAAACTTGATATAAAAATATTTATAATTATTATCAAGTATTTTTTTCAAGTTTTTGTGTAAATTTTATATTGTTAATAGCCTTTACGGATAAAAATCTTTACTAGAACAGTAGGCAATGACTGCATCATGTGAAAAAATGTGAAGGAATAAGCAAAGTGAAAAATAATCTTTTAATACTATTATTTGTTAGCTAAAGCGCTAAGAAATTCACAAAGAATCTAACAAGTTCACAAAGAACTTTTAAGAATAAAGTATATTTTGAAAAATAAAATAAGTTCACCAAGAACTAAATGAATTCACCAAGAATTCAAAGTATTTATAAAAGAGTTTTTAAGAAAGATAGAACACAAAGTTCTTTAATATTTTAACGAATACTTCACCAAAAAGTAATTTAGATTCACCAAGAATCTTTATTATTAATCAAGAAAAGAAAACACAAAGTAATCAATTCTTCTGATAAACACACAGTAAGTCAGTTATTAGATTTTAAAGAATAAAAGCAAAGAAACTTTATTACTTTTCTATCTTGCCCTCTTTTTTAGCTAAGATATATGTTATTTTTATAATAATTACTCGTTACTCAATTTTCTTAATCTAGAACTAATCTATTCTATTTAGAATGAGATATAATTCATTCTATAAACTAATTTGCAATATTTCACACCTTTTGCTTAAGTGTAATTAATTTACTATAAATTACTATTAAGCTAATTTGGTTCTCAAAGATCGATAACATGTGTTTTTCATACTAATAA